ATTGGAGTGACACTTAAGGGTGACTTTTTCAGCAAAGCAATGATACAAAGGTATTGTTGTCGTTTGAGGACGGTAGGCATAGACGTCGGCTGTGAATGATTTTATGGATTTATTTGAGGAGTGCATATTATGGGTACAAGAAGTAATCGTCGGTAGCTGGTAAATTCCTATTGGTTGTACTCTTGTGCAGTCAAAAACTTCACCAATATATATACCTTGTACTAACGTGGGTAAGAGAAGTGAGCATAAGAGAACAACAGGAACCATTGTATTCCATAACTTATTTCTATGAAAAAATGTATTTGATAACATCTTTTTTTTGGTCTTTTCTTTATACTGTGGACTATTCGGATATACCATTGTAATTGCGGAAACTTGTAAACTCTTATTTTTCTTCTCTAGATATTTTTGTATTACTTTTTTATCAAAAATATGTTCTTCCGGCTCCCATGTATTTTGACTTGAAAGGTAATCCTTCCACTTTACTAGATATTGGGTTTTACCTTTTCTAAGCCTTTTATCAACGATTTCTTCCATTGTGAATATATCCGTATCATCAGTTTAGTTTTCCGGCAAATCGTGTATTTCATCTGTTTCATTTCTAACGGTTGAAAATGTTACTTGTTTGTTTACCCTCTGGTTAGTTTCTTCAAAACTAAACTCATCGCTTGTTTCTCTAGCTTCATTGAGAACTTCGATGTCCAATGTTATATCTGTTGTGGGTTTATCTTCTGAACCAAACCATTGCTTGAAACGGTACACATGAACAGGAGTAGTAAGTTCTTTATTGTTCATATTCTCCACCTTGAAAGTTACGGGAGACGTCTTTTCAATTAGCTGAAATGGACCGTGCCAGAAGCTGGTAAGTTTTTTCGCTAAGCCTTTCTTTGCAGCTGGCGTATATATCCATACTTTATGTCCCACTTGAAACGGGTATTCTTTAGCTTTTTGATCATAGTGTAACTTCATCTTCGCTTGAGCCTTCTGAATATTTTCTTTTGCCAGTTTACGTGACAATCGTAGGTTGGATATGAGTCATTGAATGAGTAACTCGGTGTTGTCCGTGGGGTCTTTTCTTGGCAGCAGTGTAGTGTCGTGAGGTAGTAAAGCATCTCTACCATATGTTAACTTAAAAGGAGTTTCTCCAGTACTAGCAGATATACTGGTATTATATGCATATACAGCAGCTATAAGATGGACATCCCAATCTTGTTGGTTAGAGGCAACATACATGGAAAGACTTTGAGCCAAAATCCCATTAATGCGTTCCACAAAACCATCAGTTTGGGGGTGATAAGCGGTTGTAAAAGACTTCTTTACATTTAATATTTCGCATACTTCTTTCACAAGTTTGCTCGTAAAATTACTACCTCTATCGGTTAGAAATCGCCTTGGTGCTCCATGCTTGAACACAATGTTGTCTACAAATATCTCTGCAATAGATGATGCTGCAATGGTGGGGACCGCAAAAGCCTCCACATACTTTGTAAATAAGCAACCAAACACAACTATATAGCGGTTTCCTTTTAAAGAAGGAGGGAAAGGTCCCAAACAATTGGCTGCAATGACGTCCCATGGTCTTTCGACAGGAATTGGTAGTAGGGGTGCTTTGCTTGTAGTCGGATTTCGTTTTCGTTGAGCGCAAGTGGTACATGACTTTACCCAGGTTTGTATGTCGTTATACATACCAATCCAATAGTAATTAGTCCTAATTTTCTCATAGGTTTTTGTCACCCCGAAGTGTCCTCCACATGGTTCATCGTGGGCCCAGGTTATTAACTCATTTCTTAAAGATAGTGGTACAACTAGCTGAGTAAGGTTTCTTGAGGTTTTTGATTCATGGTGGAATAGTAAACCTAAGTAGTGGTTACCCTCTAATGCCAATACTTTCTTTGCTTCTTTTAAGTCTTCGGGTAGCTCTTTATTGGCTAGATATGATACTAAATCAGCGTAATAGGGATCGTTACGCTGTTCTTTTACAACCTGGTCAATTGGTCTACCCGGTACTGTCAATGTTGCAACTGTGTCGTAACTCCGTCGGGATAGTCCGTCAGCATTACCATTCATTTTTCCTGGTCTATATTCAATTTCAAAGTCATAACTTTGTAACATTAAGCTTGGTCCTTTAGTTATTACGCTTTAGATAATACGCATAAATAAATGTTACGAGTTACTGATAATCCAAACAACACTTCGTATCAACTTGTAACAAATATAAATACTAGTTTCAATTGTCCCGATATATTATATAAAACCGTATAAATATAATACAACTTGTTTTACTATATCTACAAATCGAGAACACAAACCAAGAACCCAATCAAGAACCGGATCAAGAACTGGATCAAGAACTGGATCAAGAACTGGATGAAGAACTATGAACGTTTGTTAACTGACGTTTTTATACGTTTTGTTTAAACGCTAGACGCGTTTCGGTTCATAAACAAATTTTTTTGGTACGCTAGCGTCTATGCTACACGCCTATATGGTTCAATAAACT